AAATAGATTTATAATTGTCATATTATTAATTTTTTATTGCCTTCTTTACATTAAGTTTTAAAACAATTACAATAATAGTTATACTCATAACTTTATTATTGAAAATAAACATGAAACTCAACATAAATAATAATTTGATTCATAATGGTGTAACTTAAGAAGAGGAGAAAAAGAATAGTTTATTCATTAATAATTGTATATAATAATTATATAATAAATAATAAATATATATATTATTATGTTATTATTATATATTAAATATGTATAAATGCATACCCTATTTAATGCATAGGGTAGCATTATATATATACATAGATAGATTAGAAATGATTAAAAAAATGCTTATGATTAAGAGGGTATAACAAAAATTTTAACTAAATTGTAGAAAACATTATTAATTTACACTGAAACTTCACAAATTTATATAGTGATTAGTGATTTTAAATTTTGCCTCCCCTTATCTGAATTTCCAGCTGTGCCATTGCCACTGCCAATAGATTTGTGATGCCTTAACCTACAGGTAAGGGCATGGGCATGATGTAGAGTATATGTTTAAGGTCTTGGTCTTTACTGTCTGTCCAACTTGTAAGCTAAAGACTAAAATCCAAGTTGTAAGTTGAGGTCTTTGGTCTTTGTTGTACATGTCCAAGTCGTGAGTCAAGTTCTTCGTCGCCCATAATGCAAGCAATTTCCTTAGGTATTATAATGAGAGTTACCAATTTTGCATGTTTTGGGTGGATTGTATATTTTATTAATTTGACAATTACTAAGTATTTTTTTTTTCAAATTATCAATGCGTTAAGGTAGAAATGTTTAGTTGTGTCACTAATTTGTATGAAAAGTAAGAAAAGGATTTTCTTGACACTTCTCCTCCCAAATAGTCAATCACCGAGTTGGATGACACAAACTATTGGATTTTGCCAACAAGCCCATCCTCAATATGTGCCTTCTTGGACACATATATATTTGTCATTGATACATAATATTTTTTGATTAGGTGTTATTTATGGTGTAAAATACTATGATATTATTGGCAAAATGAGAAAAGTTATCGGCTATGTTTGGTTTGGTTGGTGTTATTAGCTTATAGCCTTTATTTTTTTTTCTTAAATAGCTAATTAAGGTATTTGAAAATATTAATCTATAGGTTGATATCAAATTGTTCAATAATAAAAACCAGGTGTTTTATCAAGTATCAACTAATAGCTACAATTAATAGTTGTTTCTAACATCCAAATTGAACAAAGTCATTATTATTGTTATTATTATTAAAGATTAGTACTCATCAATTGGATTTGTATGAAAATTAAGCAAAAAAATACTCAAAATTATGTCTTTTAAATAATGCACTATAAAAGAAGATCAAAATAGTCTCATTTTTACTTTAAAAACTAAGATTTTATAGTCTTTTTCAATAAAAATTTATTAAAATGTTATAATTTAAAAGTATTTTTCACCTAATTTTTTACAAATATAATTGATAAATATTTTTCCCTTTTTATTATTATAAATTATTGGTTTATAAAAATCTCCCACTAGCAATTTTAAGTCAAGGTTCTTGTTTTTTATTATTATTTTTGAAGAAGAAGTCAAGGTTCTTGTGGTTCATGACATTAGTGCAGGTCAAGCTCCTGGTCATGCATTAATTTAGAGTTAGTTTAGTATAATTATGGTTTTCAGTTTTTAATTTGATTTTTATAAATTTTACAATTATTAAGAATCAAAATTAAAAAAATATAAAAAAAAAAAACCAACACTACTAGAAAACACAGTATACTCGATAAACTTATAATTGACAGCCAATTTTCTGTCGATTATACCTATATAATCGACAATTTTTTTGTCGATAATATTATTCTATCGATTATGTACAATTTTGACCTATTTAATCAACAACCTTTCTATCGATTATATAGATATAATAGACAGAGAATTAGCGGTCGATTATATTTAATCGACAGCATTTCACTGTCGATTGTGTACAAGCCATAATTGATAGTATTTTTGTCGTTTATGGATCAAAATGGCACCATTTCTTCTATATAATCGACAGCATTGGCTATCGAATATACTCATTCATTATCCCCTTGACTCCTTTTTCTTCCCCATTTCTTCTTCTCCCTTTGTGGTCGATTTGGTTTCTTCTTTGGCAAAGTTTGCCATCGTTGTTCATGCTTAGCTAAGGGACTAATCTTCGTGTCCCTTGTTGTCAGAATCCCTGTGCCGGTGATGGTGATTTGGCCCCTTTCTTGCTCGATTTAGTTTATTTATTTTTTATTTTCCTTGGATTTACCGTCGGCATTTCTACTTTTTCTTGTAGATCCATGCTCCATATCCAACCTCCATTGCCTCCACGCCACCATGCCACCTAGAGGCGGTGACCTGCTTTTTCTTACCCTACAAATTGCACTGTTGTCGATGGTTATCTAGCTTTCACTGCCTTCACTACCTCCACCTCACCACCTTGGCAGAGACTGTAGCCTCCAACAGTTAGTTTTTTTCACCAAGAATTTGGAGAATTTTCCCTTGGTTTTGGACTTATAAGACCTTATCTTTTGTTCTATTTATAGATTTGTGATCCAATCTAGTCTCTGTAGTATCATCGTCTCCACTACCAGAGGTAATTGGGATTTTTGTGGTTTTTTTATGCAAAATTATACTGTCTCATTTGTGGATTAGTGTAGATTATTGCTACTATTGCATGAGATATTGAATTGTCAGTGAGTTGCAGTTATTTCTTTCAAGTTTTTAAGATTGAGATATGTATGCTAGTTGAAGAGTATTTTTAATATATTTGTTTATATTATTGAGTTTGAGATTAAGGTTGAGACTAATATTGAGATTGGGATGTGCATTATTATTGAACTAAAATGATATTTAGATTGAATTTCTATATATCAAATTGTTTATTTCAAATTATTGAGATTGAGATTATTATGGTAATTAAACTAGAGTAGTAGTTATATTGAATATATATATATATATATATA